GGAAGCAGGCCCGAGAGGCCAAGCAGGCCGAAAAGCTCTCCAAGGAAAACGTGAGCAGCCTGTTCTTCCCTTTACTCTCGCCTTCCTGAGCAAGGACTCAAAACACAAAACAAAAGGCTAGCTGGGGTTGGTGGGGAATACTTAGAAAGGCCAGAGCGAGGGCCGCACCTGTGGCTCAGTGAGTAGGGTGCCGGCCCCATATACTGAGGGTGGCGGGTTCAAACCTGGCCCCGGCCAAACTGCAACAACAATAAAAAAAGACAAAATAAAATAAAAAAGAAAGGCTAGAGCAGCAAGTAAATTGAATACCATTAAGCCAGGTAAGCATTTTCCGTGTGAAATTTGATTTGGTTTCATTATGGTCGTAGGAATTTGGCAAAATTCATCCCATATTTATAGCAGTTATATGAAAAATAGGAAAATGATTTTATTTGAGCGTTGAGTCAAGAGGAAATTAAGAGCCTCGTCTTGTGGCCTGGTTTTATAGTCTGTTTCATGGGGTTCTTTTGGGAAAGTAACGTTTCCTTCTCAGCATGTGGCACTTACCTGCTCCCTCGGTGTAGACCGGTAGGGGTCTGGGGTGAGCACAAGTGGCTCACAAGTACAGTCTAGCCCTGCCTTTGGGAGTGGAGGTCAGGCTGGCAGGCAGAAGCCCTATGGTCCTCAAGGTCAGGCTTTCTATGTCTTCTGTTGAAAACACACTTTCCTGACTTCTCTGCCCGCTCAGGTCGGTGTCAGCCCGCAGCCTGGAAGCGGCTGCATCAGCAGAGCTGGCTCCCTGCACAAGCCCACCGCTCAGCCGGAGGAAAAGAGGCCTGAGACTGCAGTGTCGAGGCTCGAGCGCAGAGAACAGCTGAAAAAGGCCAACACTCTTCCCACGTCTGTGACAGGTACAGAGTCCTGGTGTCTCCTGTAGAACATACTTTATTTTCTGTGGTATAATAACCAGTACAGCACCTGAGGCATTTCAGGGCACAGCCGTGTCATGAGCTTATTCTTAAACCGACACTGATAAAGCTCACATGATAGAGACCACCAAGAACCTGCCCACCTGGCCAGTGGTGTGATGGTCAATGTTCAAAAATCAGCCCTTCAGGGCTGGGCACAGTGGCTCACGCCTGTATTCTTAGGACTCTGGGAGGCCAAGGCAGGTGGCTCACCTGAGCTCAGGAGTTCGAGACCAGCCTGAGCAAGAGCGTGACCACCCACCTCTACTAAAAGTAGAAAAATTAGCCAGGCGTTGTGGCAGGTGCCTGTAGTCCCAGCTACACAGGAGGCTGAGGCAAGGATGGCGTGAGTCCAAGAGTTTGAGGTTGCTGTGAGCTGATGCCATCACACTCTACCCAGGGCAACAGGGTGAGACTCTATCTCAAAAAACAAAACAAAATTAAGAAAACCAAATCAGCCCTTCTAGTAGAGAGAACTCCAGTTTGTAGCAGTTTCCATTTCCCATGGAGAAAATACTCCTTCCATGGCTAATTTGAAGCTACCAAGGTGATGTCAACTGGCTCACTAAATTGATGAGCTTTTAACAAGACAGCATGAGCTGTCTCCAGCACCCTCTGCCTGTGTTTTAACTTCCCTTATAGATTCAACCATTTCACAATGCATATGTATTTCAAAGCATCCTGTTGTATCTGATACATAACAATTTTATCTGTTTATTTAAAAAAAATTTTTAAATGCAGTTCTGACTTTCTCCTTTTCTTTCAACACGAAATCCAGTGGAGATCTCCGATTCAGCACCCCCATCGCCGCTGGTGAAGGAAGTCACCAAGAGGTTCTCCACCCCAGACGCTGCCCCTGTGTCAACAGAACCGGCCTGGCTGGCTTTGGCCAAAAGGAAAGCAAAAGCCTGGAGCGACTGCCCGCAGATTATTAAGTAAAGAGTGACTCTTACCCATTCCTGAGGCCAGTTCCTGGCTCTTCTTCTCTTGCCCTTTTTATTTATTTATTTTTTATATGAGGTACAGAAACCAAGCTAGGGAAAAGCAGCATGTTTTATAGGCTCTAAAATAATGTTCAGAAAGGGAACTGGTGGTGTTCATTGTAAAGAGTGTTTGCACAACCTTTGGTGCTGGTGCCTTGAGCTCCTCCTAGTTCTTAAGGGAAAACTCCGTCCAAGGGACCCCACGAAGCAAAACCTGTAAACTAAGATCTCTTCATGAGCCTGCCACGCCCATCCCATGGCCCTTCCGTACAAATACACTCACATGCCGTTCAGAGCACGTACTTTTGCCAATCTTTGTAATGATTTTTTTGATTCTCTGATTTCTTTTGTTCAAAATATTGACCCCTCCACCGTATGTTTGGGGATGTTTATCCTTTCTGCAGTAATGGTGAAAGGATCACGTGTAGATAGAAACAAGAGCACCCACTCTCCTTCTCCTCCATGCTGTAAGTACTTGGCTCCCAATTCTGCGCTGATGTCTGTTTTCATGAATTTTCCCCGCCCTGAAGCTGTAACGCAGAAGACATATCCAATCGCACTGTACCACCCTGTGGATCCAGTGTGAGGCCCCATTATATAGATACCCTCCTTAAGGACATGTGAGATATCTGGCCTAGTTGATTCCCCGGGGAACATTTGTATTATATTTAATATGGCAAATAAAGGAAATTCTTTATCAGAGCTATAAGTTCTCTGCCTGTCTCTGAAAATCCCCATCTAATGCAGTGATTCTTCAGGTGTCCAGGCCTACTGAATCAGGATGGGGCAGAAATGTATAAAATATTCTGGCAAAAACTCTTCAGATGAATCTGATATATCCCGAAGGTTAAGAACTTTGAAAACCAATGATTCTGGTGTCATTTAATTTTTCAGACTCTGAAGGGAAGGCTTGCTCACCCAAAAAGCAAGCGAAAGAGGAAAAATAATACACCAACCCGCTAAATCACCCATGTATTATAAGAAACAACAGGCTATGGACATTATATGTTCCGAAAATTTCTTTTGGTCTTTAGGGAAAATTAACAGGATGCCAAGATTTGGAAGTCTTTGTCCTAAGGACTTCCTGCAGAAAGCTTTTTCTTTACTATAATTGAAAGTTGAATGTTCCGCAGCATTTGTAATTTAGTGCATTCACCTTGCTACTTTAAAAAAAAAAAATCTTGGTCTGAGTGGCCTTGCGATTATCATACACATGTGCATACAAAGAAGGGATCTGACAGTTGCAAAGCCACATATATTCACTTTTATTTAAATTTGCTTTACATGAAACATAGACATACCAGAAAACCCACATAGATTGCTTGTACTAACTTTACATTTCATCGTATCGGTAAATTCCCTTTTCTTAGCTTCTTACTCCAAAGTATAGGTCCAAATTATTTGCCTGGTGCAGAGAATTACATCCATTTTCCTCTCCTACAAAAACGTTCCATTTGTATCCATCATTTTATGCTCACTGGATGCAATCTGCTATTACTCTATCATATACCTTAAAGAATGACAGCAAAGTTATCTACCATATAAAAACCATTTTCTTATAGAAACAATGGCTCAGCCTCACTGTAGTAGCCGGCATGTGTGGTCAAGTTGGATAACTGTACTGTGCAAGTTGGATTTCATATTATGCATACTGGACCTTCAGACTGTTAGCAATCAATGTAACTTTTTTCTTTATTGCTCTTAGTAAGCAATTAATATTCCACTGCACGTTTTTCATACTAATGTTCATTTCTAAATCCAATATGTAGGCATTTGTTGTTTCCAATGATATCCTCACTAGTGTAACACGTTTTAATAGGAATCTTTCCACCTAGAGCCCTGGAATTACACTGCTCCAGTAATTCTTCTGAACTGACTTTTTTTTTTTTTCATCCTGACAGCTTTGGACAATATCACAGTCATGACAGGGAGCAGGTGAAGAAATAAGATCATTAACAAAGAATGGTAGGTGAGTCACCTCTACTGGCTCAGACACCACTAAGCTCAGGCAAGAAATAACCTCAGTTATGTATTTCCCATCAGAGTCTTTAAAAGAAGAGTACATTGAAAAGGCAGTTACAGTACTTACACGAACAACTTCTAAAGGGTACGTGCGTAACATTTCATTAAAAAATCACCTCAAATTTGCACTAAATACTGGTGAAGTGTTATTCCACTTTAGTTATGTTGCAGTCTTTTTCTGAGCAACAAACTATGGGGAAATTCTGTTAAAACATGAAAAGTTTAAGACTTAAAAAAAAAAAGAGATTCCCATGCTAAATACACAAGTTTTTTCTTTTTTTATTTAAACAAACATTTCTCCTGGCCAGGTTATAGATGATTAACCTCTGTTCATAGACTATATATAAAACTTAGAGGGTTTTGTTTACTTTTTTAATTTTTCAAGTGCAATTGTTTCTTACACAAACCTTAATTACTATTAATCATTTTCGCCAGTTATCTGCAAATGTGTAGTATGTATTCTCTTCCTGTGATGTTTAGTTTGCTTATTTTAAAGCAGAAACATTAGTTCACTGTCCTGCAATATTTTTACCAACAATAAAATTAAGTAGACTTAATGAAAATATGTTAGCGTGATTTTAATATTATTTTGAGGTTTTGGCTGCATAAAGTTTTAATGTAAAATGACCATTATGGAAGGGAAAAGGTCTTTCAATAAAAAATACCCACAAGATCTTTGGCACTGATGGGCTTTGATTGTGATGACCATCTACGGACAATCTCATTGTCTTTATTTACATAGCTTTTGTTAAATAATAAAAAGGGCAGGGTGTTTTATGTGGTACTTTATTTCTCTCTATGTAATTTTAGAGAAAAATAAAGACTAAGGGCAGTGAAATGTTTTGTCTCAGTCCTGAACAGGAATTGAACAGTTTGAGCCTCAGACAAAATGATCCCACAGCCTCCTTACAACTAGAGTGTGGGCCACAGACCAGCAGCACCAGCCCCCACTGAGTGGGAGAAGTGAAGCTGATGGCCACACACTGCACACCGAGGGCCAACCAGGGTGAAGTGAGCGAGGCAACAGAAGCTCTGGCCTTGGCTGCCAAAAGGACAGGGTATGACTGATCTTTCCTTTTGTTTCAGGCACCAGTATGGCTTGAGAGCCCTTACCCCAGCCCTGCTCAATTAGATTGTGCATTTTAGCAAGAGCTCTGGATGGTGACTATGTACCAGCCATACGTAAGGCTTAAAAAGCACTGATCTAAAAGGTGGAAGATCATCTTTTAGGTGAAAGGTCATTCTTTTAGGCCAGCCAGAACCTAAATCCCTTGTGATTTGGGAATGGTCCAGTTCATGGCTTTTAGTGGGAGGCACCTCCTACCTCCCACCACAGCTGGAATGCCTGATATGTGCTTTCTTATACTCTTGTGGGCATACAACCTGTCTCACTTTGATTTGGAAAAGACTGAATTGGGGGTAACTGGCCAAAAGATGGGGTAACTGTAAGGTTGTCTGATGGTGATGCCGTTGATGGGAAACAGCTTTAATGGTGTTAGTCATAAGTTGAGCATTTAAAACTCCTGCTTGGTGAAGAATTGCAAAGAAGACTTGAATTCTATGGCCAGGAACAATGAATGCCACATACCAACTTGAAATTACACTCTGTGTGTGAACAATGAATGCCACATACCAACTTGAAATTACACTCTGTGTGTGTTTTGTTTTTGTTCTACATTGGTACTTTTGTTCATTTAAAAATACCAAATAAGGAACTTAATAAAGATATCCTACCTTTGAAAATCTTTTGCCATAAATCTAGGTTTAAATGAGTGAATGATAAAACAAGACTAAATTTTTGCCCAGGCATGGTGGCTCATACCTGTAATTCTAACACTCCGGGAGGCCAAGGCAGGAAGATCATTTGAGGTCAAGGGTTTGAGACCAGCCTGAGCAACAGGACCTCATTTCTACAAAAAGCAGAAAAATTAGCTGGGCATGGTACTGAGCACCTGCAGTCCCAGCTACTCGGGAGACAGGAGGATCACGCAAGCTCATGAGTTCAAGGTTACTGTGAGCTATGATGATGCCACTGGACACTAGGCATACCCTGTTTCCAAAAAAAAAAAAAAAACCAGTTAAATTTTTAACCCAAGTATATTTTGATCCTTTTTTACTTCCACAGGGGTCTTTAAAAATAAATGAATCAATGCATACGTGAATGAAATTAACATAAAATTAGCCTATATTACCCAGGGTTCTCCAGAGAAACATAAAGAAGAGCTTTTACACATACACACACTCAGGGTGCCAAAAAATGTATACATATTTTAAGAAAGGAAAAAAGTGCATTAAATTTGTAATACTCAAGTCACATTTTGAGTTCTGCCATTACAAGAGGTGCTCAACGGGACTTGTATTCATCTTTTGTTAACACACACAGTAGAACCTCTAAAGTTGACCTAATTTTCACAGACTGGACATGCACCACATGTATCCATCTGTACAGTAGGCCTAGTTCCTCATATTCACCACCTCCATAAGCTGACCAGTTTGTTAACAGTCCCTTGAGTGGTCAACTTACAGAGGTTCTACTGTGTGATATACCTAATGTTTTGCCAGCTATCTGGGCATCCCTTACCCCAGTCAAGCTGACAACATAAAATCAATAATCACATCTAATTAAAGAAAATGCTACCAAATAGTAATTGATCTGTTTTGTTCTCTAACTCCTAAATGTTTTTGTTCTTCTTACAGGAAGTAAAATATGGTTGTTCTCCAATAAGGTATAGACAAGTTTCAGTTTCTTAATCAAAGAATAATCTTTAATGTAGAATAAGACCATCTACCTGCTCTATAATGGTAAAATATTTTCTTTTTTTTTTTTCTTGAGCCAGAGTCTCAAGCTATTGCCCTGGGTAGAGTGCCGCAGCATCATAGCTCACAGCAACCTCAAACTCTTGGGCTCAAGCAATCCTCTTGTCCCAGTTTTTCTACTTTTTTAGTAGAGATGGGGGGGGGGGAAGTCTTGCTTTTGATCAAGCTGGTCTCGAACTCATGAGCTCAAGCTATCCACCTGCCTCGGCCTCCCGGAGTGCTAGGATTATAGGCTAAGCCACTGTACCTGGCCTATGGTAAAATATTTTCAAACATCTCACAGATATATGCTAATAAGGATTGTACCTGATTATTTTTTATTGCCACCCAATAAATCCAGACAATAAATATAATTATTTCTACATCCAATAATGAGCATTGATTCCCAGACTACAGGAGAAGAGAAGACCTCTCCGGGAAGTTCATACACACTTCTCAGTTGTCCACTCTGAGAATCCAAGATCCACAGTTTCCCATCCGTAGATGCTGCTGCCAGCAACATTTCAGTGCTGTGATCTTGGTTATGGAAAGCAAACGGTGTTGCATATACCCGTGAAGTAGTTTCAAATTTCCATCGGAGGTGACCTTTCCTGTTACAACAGTAGATAAAGCAATCATGGGAACCAAAAAATATGTCTTGCTCTGATGCTGAGATACATGGGGATGAAAAGATCGGTCCACTGGTAAAGAACTGCCAAACCTATAAAGAGTAATAAAATAAAAATACCACTCAGTCATCTAATTGCAGCAGTCCTCCCGTAATGCACCATGAGCTTCATAATACAAAGCTAAGATACGGAGACTATTTGAAATGTAACTACACACACAGAAAATGGCTTTTCCTGAAAAGTAAGTAGTGCCTCATACTAGACCTCTGTCCCAGTGGCAAAATCCAAGACAGAATACACTGGCATATTATTGTTGCATGATTCACTGCTAGGCATAACATGAGTAAAACTAATCTTGAACCCCATTTGAGAGTTATTACTAGCATGTTCAGAGACAATGAGCTCAAAGACAAAAAACTGCATTGAGTTTTCCACATATCTCATTAAAAACTATCTCACTCTATTCTCTAATGAAGATCAGAGAACAAAACAAGAGACAAGAAAACCTATACAAAGGATCAAGGAAACAAAAGCTGTTTATTTGTGTAGGTAAAGGGTAAGATGCTAACTAGATATCTAAGGAAGAAAGACAGACGTAAATAAAATCAGAAATGAAAAAGGGGGCATTCTACATGATAGGACATACATGATCATGAACAACTACACAAATAAACTGGGAAGTCTGGAGGAAATGGATAAATTCTGGGACACATGCAACCTACCAACACGGAATCAGGAAAAAGCAGAAAACCTGAACAGGTAATGAATTAATGAGATTGAATCCGTAATAAAAATCTTCCACCCAAAGACAGAGGGGATGGGAGGGCTTTACTGCTGAAGTCCACCAAACGTTCAAAGAAGAACCAAGGCTAATTCTCCTCAAACTACTCCAAAAAATTGAAAAGGAGAGATTTTTCCCTAACTCAGTCTATGAGGTCAGCATGAGCCTGATACCAAAACCAGACAAGGATGCAACAAAAAAGAAAACTACAGGCCAATACCCCCAATGAACACAGATGCAAAAATCCTCAACAAAATAACAGCAAACAAAATTCAAGTGCCTAAAACACCATGATTTAGTGGGATTTATCCCAGGGATGCAAGGATGGCTCAACATAAAGCAGTGAAAGTGATTAATCACATTAACGAAATGAAGGAAAAAAATCATATTTAAAAGAAATTCTGACTTGGCACCTGTAGCTCAGCAGCTAGGGCACTGGCCACATACACAAGGGGTGGTGGGTTCAAACCCAGCCCAGGCCTGCCAAACAAGTATGACAACTACAACAACAACAACAAAATAGCTGGGCGTTGTGGCGGCACCTGTAGTCCCAGCTACTTGGGAGGCTGAGGCAAGAGAATAGCTTAAGCCCAAGAGTTTGAGGTTATTGTGAGCTGTGACACCAAGGTACTCTACCCAGGGCAACATAGTGAGACTCTGTCTCAAAAAAAATAAATAAATTATTTTAGAGACAGGGTCTCATTCTCCCATACAGGCTAGAGTACAGTGGCACAATTATATCTCACTGCAACATCAAACTCCTAGGCTCAAGTGATCCTCCTGCCTCAACATCCCAAGCAGCTAGGACTATAGGCACTACCACGCCTGGTTAATTTTTAGAATTTCTGTAAAGATAGGGTCTCACTATGTTGGCCAGGCTTGTCTCAAACTCCTAACCTCAAGTGACTCTCCCATCTCAGTTTTTTAATCATATGTCTTACCATAATTTTTCATGATAAAAACTCTCCACAATCTAGGCACTGAAAGAACATATCTCACATAAGGCAGGATATGACATAAGGATTTATATGACGTAAATCAAACTGAACAGGGAAAAGCTAAGTCTTTCCTCTAAGAAGTGGAACGAGACGGGGATGCCTACTTTCACTACTGCTGTTCAACATAGGACTGGATGTTCCAGCCAGAGCAATCTGGCAAGAGAAAGAAATAAAAGGAATCAAGAAAGTCAAATCATCCTTCTTTGCAGATGACATGATCTTATATCTAGAAAAACCAAGAAATTCTTAGATACGATAAATATATGCAAAGTTGCAAGACACAAAACCAACATACAAAAATTAGTAGCATTTCTATACAACAATGAGGACCTGGCTGAGAAAGAAATCAAAAAAGGCAACTAGCAGATACAAAAACAAAAATAAAACAAACCTCCAACCACACAAAAGGAAACACGATAACTCTAGGAATAAATTTAGCTAAAGAGGTGAAAGACCTCTACCAAGAAAACTATAAACTACTGAACACTGCTGATAAAAGAAGTTGAAGAGGACACAAACAAGTGGAAGGCACTCCATGCTTGTGTTTTAAAGGAATTAACAGTGTTAAAATGACCATATTACCAAAGCAATCTGCAGATTCAATGCAATCCCTATCAAAACACCAAAGTTATTTTTCACAGAAATAGAAATTCACATTCATTCAAAATTCATACCAAAAAAGAATTCAAAGAGCCAAAGAAATTCTAAGCCAAAAAAAAAAAAAAAATGAAGCTGGACATCACTATGGGATATCAAAATATACCTCAAAGCTGGCTCACGCCTGTAATCCCAGCACTCTGGGAGGCTGAGGTGGTGGATTGCTTGAGCTCACAGCCTAAGCTAGAGTGAGACCCTGTCTCTAAAAATAGCCGAGCGTTGCGGTGGGCATCTGTAGTCCTAGCTACTTGGAAGGCTGAGGCAAGAGAATCACTTCAGCCCAAAGTCTCAGGTTGCTGTGAGGTATTACACCATGGCACTCTACCAAGGGTGAAAAAGTGAAACTCTGTCTCAAAAAAAAAAAAAAAAAATATATATACACACACACACATACACATACACACATACACACACCCCACAAAGCTATAGTAACCAAAACAGTATGGTGTTGGTATAAACGCAGACACACAGACCAATGGAAAAGTATAGAGAACCTAGAAATAAACTCACATATTTACAGCTGATTTTTGACAAAGGTGCCAAAAGCACATATTGGGGAAAGGACACACTGTTCAGTAAATGGTGCTAGCAAAACTGAGTTGGAGGTTGCTGTGAGCTATCATGCCACAGCACTCTACCCAGGGCAACAAAGTGTGACTCTGTCTCAAAAAAATAAATATAATATTTAAAATTTTACTTCAATTGTCATCATCTACTATGCCTTTGACAAAGATGTATAATAGAACTAGAAATTTTTACCTGTTCTCCCAAGTGAGTAAAGCAGAGTAAATTCCCATCAACACAGCCGATGCAAATATATTGTAAGCAACACTGCGGAGAAGAGAAGAGTGGCTTTCCACAGGAATGTTTCCAAATTATGTTCCCAGTAGCCTGTCATGGGCAAAAAGAAATTCACAGCATTTGAAATCTTTCCAGTAATTGATTATCCTTTATAAAACAAATCCTAAGTTTCTCTGAGGCAGAACTAAAATATCAGAAAATACTGACATAAATGAAGCTAGTTAATACACACATGAGTTCATGAACTCATCCTAGAAAAAGTACTACATACCTCTTTGCTGAATATTACTACAGTCACCTTCAAAGAACTTCCCTTGGGAAGCTATGCACCATTGCTAGCACCAAGTCCACCCTTCAAAGCAATTCTGGAATGACCATCAGAGCTATCACCATAGGGCACACAAAAAGACACAACAATAATGAATGCCACTCAGCAAGATACCACCACGCACTGACAAGAACACAGCTGTGAGACCCTGATATGCCAAGGTTATAAAACCTTACTGAGTTGTTTGTACAGTGCTGTCAACATAAGAACTCAGTGGCAAGTTTGTGAACTTAACTGCAGACCTTCTACAACAATAGCTCTGATGGTCATTCTAGAAAAAAAGTTCCAAAATTGCTTTGAAAGGTGGACTAGGCACTGGCATTGGTGCATAGCTTCCCGAGGGAAGTACTTCAAAGGTGACAGTAGTGACGTTCAGCAGTGAGGTGTATAGTGCTTTTTCCAGGATGAGTTCATGAAGTTGACTGTCAGACCTCATATATGCAGCTATAAAATTAATCAGTGCTATTTATGAAAGCTAGGAGAAAAACCTGCAGTAAACCAGGAAAGAAATAACTAGTACCCAAGATCTATCCTTATGATGAACACGAAGATCTTAATATGAAAAAATTCTGCCAATTTAGAATATAGATGAAATATATACTCAGGAACTCAGATTTTGTCATCTTTCTATGTTTTATAGCAATCATTTTTAATGAATTCTAGTTCAGTTAAAAAAAAAAGAATTCTAGTTCAGTAATATGTGGACTATATATAATTAACTGAAAACTACTCCAACTTTCAGAATTCAAAGCAAAATTTAAAACAAAAAATAAAAAAAAATAAGATAATACGATGAACACATTCTACACCTACAGGATTTACAGCCAGTAAAAGTCCTCCCAGTGTAGCACAATATAGATGATGTGGGTTCAGGCTCAAACAAGGAGAAGAAAAGACAGTTCCCCCACATTTTAACTTCCAAACACACTTCTTTTTCTGAAAATAAGAAAGCAAATTATTTTGGTTTTGCTTGCGGTTGGTGTATGTGTGCACATATACACGAGATTGTGCTGAATATACAATTTGGTAATCATGTTTTGCTCACTTACTGTGTAAAACTATTCCAATTTTGATGCATAATATCCCACATGAACATAAAATAATTTATCTTTATCACTGAAAATTTTTTTGTAACTAAGTTCTTAGAAATAGACATCTTGGTGCAAATATTTGTCCATGTGTCTAATTATTTTGCCAACATAGATTCTTAGAAAAACAATTTTACTGGATTGAAGGATATGAACTCGCTACATATAGTCAAATTGTTTTCCTTAGAAGCTTTACCAGTTACAACTTCAAACCACTATTATCAGCATTTACTCATTTACTGTCACTGTAATTAGTATCCTTTCTATTCTAATATCATTTGTGTTCCCATCTGATAGTTATAAATTGGCATCTTAAATATTAAAGGTGCAAAATATTTCTACACATTTTCTAGCCATTTCTTTTTGGCGGTCCTGTGTGTTTATGTTCCTTATTTATTTTCCTATTGGGATCTTTATATCTTTGTTATTAATTTGTATTTGCTTTTTATTTTCATTTATAATAAATATAAATGAATTTTAACTCTTTCACTTTTATTTTTTTTTTTTTGGCCAGGGCTGGGTTTGAACCCGCCACCTCTGGTATATGGGGCTGGCACCTTACTTCTTTGAGCCACAGGTGCCGCCCACTTTCACTTTTCTTGACAATGTTTTCTCAGTGTGCTTCTTTAAATTTTGTTAATTCTTAATAGAAATTTTTTTGGCTTTTATGTAATGAGGTCTTAAAACAGCTGATACCCTCCTTTATGATCTTCTTCAATTGTCAAGATGTTAATTCTAAGTTCTTTACATTTCAAAACCCTGAACAGAAAACTTATTTGTGGTAAATTGAGTAAAGAAGTTCAAAAATGTCCTGAGATATGAAGACTTAACTAATGCTTTATTCTTCCCAGATCACAGTGCCAAGTGTGGGAAACAGCACCTGTTCCCAGGCTCCACAGCACCTGGCAGTTTCTTGCTCTTCTATGCTGATGGTGTTAGACCAGTGGTTCTCAACCTTCCTAACGCTGCGACCCATAGGTTGAGAACTGCTGTGTTAGATGGATGAGGTGAATTCTTACATAAATATCTAAAGCGTATGCATGCTGGTCATGAGAGCCAATGTACAGGAGTCCTGTGGTTGGATCCACTGTGGCCGAGCTTTTGACAGCATCTTCTGTAGTAAACCTCCAGTAGTTTTCTCCAGTATTACTTTTTAGAACATAAACTAATCCATCATAACAGCCTGTAGGGAAAAAAAATATGA